TGGACCAAAATCGATCACTTTATGTGACTGTCGTAACGCAAATAATTAATACTTCAAGGCGCAGATTAAGGGTTGAATATCAAACAAGTTTTTGCGTCGAATCAGAGTGTTATTAAGGAGAAGTGTCATTTAATAGAACGTACATTAGCGATTATCTTTCTTGCAAGATAAATTGTCTGTCAACCAGTCTTTAATAGGATATAGTTCTAACCAAGGAAATCAACGTATTTCTGCCCCTCTTAACCGGTAACCCGACGCCTCAGCCAATTCAAAAAAGTTTTTGCTTAAATACCAGTCAGCAAGTCACGTGCAAAACATGAAAGGCCTTTCATATGTGAATAAATTCTTGCCTTGCTTTAGGTTTGCCTTTCACTACTGACTTTCCTCATCAAAACTCACAGACCACATTTAGAGGCTAGGTGGAAAAAGGAGCCGCCTCGTTTAGACTCGTCTGTCTCTATATCACCATCCATCATACCTGAATGGCACTGTATGATCTTCACTTACGTGGGTAAGCTGTGTATACAGAAAATAGTTTTTCACGGTACCTCCATGGTAGATGTTAATATCACCATTGGTATTACTCAATCAGTTTAACCTTCACGATGCGTTTGTCTGCCTCACGTTCACCAACGCTCACTTGTGGTTATGTCATCGAAAGAAAGTTATATGAAAAAACTTAACAGATAAACTCGATGGCGAAAGCCTCCCTGGAATGAAGTACAGTCTCTTGTGGCAAACGCTGAATATGGCCAAGACGCATTTATCATTAGCATCATCGTCATTGTTGTAATTATTATTACCATAATCATTTTCATAATTGTCGTACAACTCTTCATAAATGACGCAGAAGACGAGAGGAAATGATATGAAAAAATTGATCGATTGAAAATGAATAACCGGTCGCTAAAAGACACTAAATTATAAACGGAACTTATTTTCATGTACCCTGTTTTAATTATTCTTCGAATGACGTGGCAAAAGAAAATTTCGAATCTTTGGAAGACCATCTCTTTAAAATTTCTACGAACTACCATCGAGGGTGGTGCGATGCCGTTCCGATTTCGTTTATACGCCATAAATCACATGATTTATATTTGAAAGAAATACTTTCTACGTCTTTCTCGCGCAATGGTACTCGAACTGTCTAGACTTTTCTAATTCTCTTCATATTCATTATCTGAGATGTCATTAAATTTATAATTCTGCATACTGTATTCTCTTATCCCCAAGTTCTACTTTCTTCAAACTGCCTCTGAAAGTAAAATAAGGCTAGTAAACTGCGAAATGAAAACAATAACTGTGTATCTTAATTCATTATTAGACGAAAGAACCAAATACATTCACTTCATCATAAACCTTTTTCGGTCAATTAGTGGATGAAGACCTCTCCAAGACTTTCTCATGAACTTTAGTTATGAACCATTTTCATCCATCTTGGTCAAACTAACTTCTTTAGGTAATCTTCTCATCGATTCCTCTGTAGGTTACCCTAGTCCATGGGCTCACTTTCTCTTTCTTGAAACCCAGTCTATTGTCTCTCTGCTACAGCGATATATTTGTTCTTCTTGCGACGTGTCGCGTCCAATCATTTGCCACTTCAGTTTCTTCACCTAGGCAATGACGTAACAGATTACGATGACCGATTCTGCTCTTGTTCATTCGGTCGTCTTCACACCTTTTATTATTATTCCTAACATACGCTTTTCAAAGTTGAGTTGCGCAGTCTGCAGCTTATAAATGACCTTCGAAGTTAGAGTTAACATCTGGCACCCGTCGATTAGCACTGGAAGCACACACTGATCGAAACATTCCGCTTTAAACAAACGGACAATTTTCCGCATTTCGCATTTTCAGTATTACAAATGTGCTCCACGTCATTACCACTCCTCGATTGATTTTTCGATCAAAGCCAGTTCACCGCTACAGAGTTGAAACGATCTAAATACACGCAGTTTTGCACTCTTCAAGATTAAGTACAATTCCTATTCAAGAAGCTTTTCTCCACGTGATCCTGTAGCAGGTGATGATCTACGAATCACAGAAACTACTGTGAATTACTGCGTGTATGAATAACTTATGATTTTAATGCAACAGTAAATAAAGAGTACCATCTAAAGAACTATCGGGCGATCAGCGCCTGACGGCTCGACGGACAAAATGTGGTGCACTTGGCACTGCAGATACTCAAATACCATGGAGCCACTGCCCGTTTTAATACTCCCACACAACTATAAGCAAACAGATGGTGCAATGACGCAAAATCTAATCATGGACGAGTAACACGTTAACAGATTAATATCGTATGCAGCTGCCACCTTTTCACCGATTCTTGCATATGGTTCTTCATTTTACAAGAGAACTTAGCCTCATGCATCGTTGTCATAACTTTCAGAATATTAAGGATTCATGTCACCTGCATTCTGCTTCCTGTCAACGACGCTGGAATGTATGCGGGCCACTAATGGCGTGCGCGTAATAATGATATATTTGCACATTTGCAACACAGCATACTATAAGGAAGTAAAACAGAACATAATGAAAAATGATTACAGTTTAATACTTTCTGAAAGCATTTTAATATGTAAAAAAAACAAAACAGTGCATAAAAAAGTTCCAGAAAACTGCGCAACGATTAAAAGCAGCAAAGAAATGAAGTCATCAGACGAATTTTGTAGCAATGGCTAAGATTTTTGTGAAATCTCCTGTTTTGCCGCGTAGGCATGCTGGAATAGGAACCAAGATTCTGGTTCCGAGCGGATTGCCGTTGTCATCGATCAACACAATGTTGTTTGAATCCGTTCGAGGAACACCTGGAGGAGTATCCAAATAGCTGGACTTCTGACCAACGATATACGCCTTTTTCATCTCGCCTCGAATAGCTACCAGCACTTTGTCCCCCAGTCTGCCACGAGTCGAAGGCCTCCTCTGCTTTCCAACCTTGTAGACTGTTATGCAGTAAGGTGGGCGGCCTGAAAGCATAGCTTGTTTTCCAATCGCACTGTTGTCAACGACGCGAAGCCTCGTACGCATGCTGATCCAACTAAGCTGTGAGGTAGAACTGAAATATCACGTCATACATAAAAAAATAAACCATTCATTTTGAAGATTAACGAATGATGCTGACAACAGCTAGCCATCGAAAATTTCCAGGTAACTTACAGTCATACAAGTTTATAAACTTCCAAATACAAAATATACAGCGTAGATTAAAGATCGTGAAAGGCTTTAGACAACTTACGACAACTTTACTCCTTGATACTTAAGCAATATCGTTGAGAAAGATCACCAATAATAATACCAGCCAAGATGCAATTTATCGAGTTCGTTACCTTAACCTGTAAATCAATATTGCAAGAACCAATCATAAAGTCATGAGTCGAGTCATGTTTATTGGTACAGCAGAAAAAAAACTCAACTTTAATGGTGGTTCAGCAACGGTAACATTGCTAAGGCAAATGGCTACTACAAAATCAGGCTTTTGAAGGTCGAGACGCCATCCTTAATTCACATATGACCGAGAAACGCGGGTTGCCGGTGCTGCATTGCCAGCGTTAGTCAACTCCAAATTTAGTGCAACTTACTTGCTGGATAAATTGTGGGTTCGAGACCCTGTTTCCGGAATACTTGCAAAAATATAGAAAATAACATTTGAGCACTATGGCAATCTGTGAATTTCATAATTCATGAGAGTCGTTTTCAGGCTGGATATAGCAGTTCTATAAATAGCGTTTTATATGACGATCTCAGAACTGGATACGATTTGTGTGTCTGTATGTGTGTATGTGTGTGGGGGGGATTAGGTATGTGGCGGAGCCACTTATTTTCGCTCATTAACTAGTGAGCTTCCCAGGCATCGAACGATACAACGCGACCGTAAAGAAACAGGTAATATCTGATCTGGTCAGCTGGTCCGAAAGCATATTTCTGACGAACATAAACTAAGTCATTTAAGTGCGACGGTGTAGTGTAAATGAAATTCCTCTTTTACTTGCTTTTCAAACAATACATTTTTTTCGTTTATTTATGCAGAAAGGCGTATTCTAAGATGATAAGGTTCAAGCTGTTGATTGGTTGAATCTCAGATTTAAAGAAAAAGGGTTAGAACAGTATCAAATCGCAAACATCAGTTGTAGCTTAGATCCATTTACACAGGATTTGCCAGGCGTACGTACAAAGATTCTCGAATTAATATAGACTATAATTAATCTGTGAAAACAAAAGTATCATTAAAGCATATGGTGCGGCCTCTAAAACGATGAATTAAGCTTCAAATATCTCTTATCGATTTGGAAACTCATTCTGAACAATCCATTTTCTACCACCTAATATTATATTTACTTTGTTTCTATTTCTTTTCTGTTTTTCTCCGCCTCTTTTTCATTTTTTTCTTATCTGATTTCTTATGCTATTCACCTTTGTCAACCGTTACTAAGACATTACTGCTCTACATCACCGATATGCGCTTAAGTAGAAACCGGAGTTCCGAAATCTTCGCTTAACAAATACATATTTTTCAAGACAACCAACTGTCTCTAATATAGCCTATTACCATTAAGAACCGAATAACGCATGACTCTTCTAAGACCAGATTTCAGGGCGTATTGCATCGTCTTCTGATTCCAACTGTCTTCGCTGAGGGGCGGAGGATTTAAGCAGGTCACAGGTTCATGGTATTTGAGCACCACCAGTTCTAGATGAATCTAGCATCATTTTGTTTGCTAAAGCCACCTTGCCTATCATGAACAAAGCTTCATGATATGGCACTCCTTATACGCTATGAAAAATAAGCTGTTTATATCTTTACGACCTGAAAAGCAAAATGAACTATTTTGTTTAATACTTAATAATATCACTTGGCTCACTGTCTTCCGAAAAACAGATATCATGTTGCTCAGCCGGCAGAGCATGGGACTCACAATCGAGAAGTCCTAGAATTTGACTCCAATCGGGTGATACAATTCAATTTTAATATTTCTATACCGAAGCAGGCAAATAAATACCACTAAGAGGAATGAAACAATAGACTAGGCGTTGCAGTGGTCACCAAAGTGTAGATAGTTTTAGAAAAAGAACAACGCATTCCTGGCTGAAAGCGTAGAAACGCAGATGAGTATCGAACTTCATAAAAGAAGGCGCCACACACGAAGCCGAATCATGAGAGAAAGACATCCAAATAGTTAAAAGCCTTTTTTTCCTTAAGAAAAAACATTTATGGATACTGTTCCACTCAGAATACTTTCTGCATAACTAGGCAGAAATATCATCTTTCTGCATGAAGAATTTCATTCATAAATACCTTTGAATAAATGTTAAAGTAAACGGGCGTTACATCGGTTTTCATTTGGTGAATGAACAAGACTTTACAAATGATAATGACAACTTGAAAAACGTTCACATTCCAAATAAAACTATGAGTAAGAAACGTTTAAAGCAATTAACGCCACTTTAATAGCAGGACATCAATTACATAAAACTAAACCATAAAAATCGGACGCTGAAGCTCCATTTAAATTTACACAGGCACCGCGAATTCCACAACTTTATATTACTTACTGAAAAATTCGACAGCACTCGTGGTACAGCAGATCTGAGAGTCGCAAACATCCAGACAGCATCTTGTATTTTCAGCAGATATCTTTCCAGTATGATAAAGAACGCTTTCCACTCACAGCGTACTCGCCTGCTTCCGAAATATTTGAAATTGTCACTCTTCAAAACTGCTTATATTTTACATATGGTTAGGACCTTAAACGCAAAATGTACGAAAAAAAATTGACCCATTTTCGTTTCTAATTTACTAGCTGCCTATTTCCCAATAATAAATAGAACAGGTCGATGAACGGGCCACGACCAAGAAGAACGCAAATTCATAAACCGAAATCGCACAATTATCTACAACAAACTTATTGATCAGCAGGTTACAACACTGGAGGATAGCTAATATTCCATTTTTGAATTGTACCCCATGAAAATTTCAATAATATTCTCGGTTTGTCCGTTTGGATATGACCCGCTGCGGTGAAACCTAATTGATTCACAATTACAAGAAATAAAAATTTAAATTGTTGAAAACTGTTTGATTCCCTAGTCATAACGAATTGAGTTCTCCACATACTTGAGTATTGCCTACATGCATGAAATTCAAACGATATGCATTACGTTTAGGTATGGTGCTAAATCAAATTCCTGTAAGTTTGCTTTTAAAGTCGAACAAAAGATTAATTTCTCTAATATGGTTGATGGCAATTTCAGTGCGATTGGTTATGTTTGGCTTAATAGACACAAAACAGTTATTAACATAAACCATCTGTCAAGAAACGACTCAAATTGGCGGATAATTACCACGGCACACAAGCTAATAATTCGTTGAGTAATTTAATTTCCAAAGGAAAAATATCTTAATGAGCTTGGAGTGCACAGTGCATTAACATGGATTAAAGGAAAAAAAGTTGAAAGCTTTTAATGTTAGGTCGGCATGCGTCGATAGTGAGGATGGCATGTACTGTATCGGCTCTTCTTTCAGTGCTGTTTTATTGGCAAAATAAATTGGCATTCATTGTTTAAGAATTCTCGATCCTTCACATAAAATCGAGCAGTCGAAATCGGAATCATTGTTGCATGCTGCTAGTTACAAAAGTTAAAGAAAAGTTGCAGAAAAATAACTCGACCTTACAGGTTTACCAGCATCCTACTAGTTACTGATACCGCCGCAAAGATATATAATCCTGTCAGTTTTTCATACCGGCTTGAAGCGGTGTAAGCATCGTCCCCTCGTCAGTAAATCCATAAGATCGGGTTTTATTTTTCTGTATAAATACGCTTACGGATCACGGCATACTTACTGGTGCCCGAGCGGGCCCGTGTTCGGCCCTCCGTAGTGATGCGGTTTTGCATCCATGCACCGCAGGTGCTTAAATACTAAGGAGCCATCATCTGCTTAAATGGTTCTGTAGGCCACTAGAAGCAATTGGTCGGTGCTTACGCCGCTTCAATCGGTTTCAAAAACTGAAAGAATATTACATCGATCGTTGCAGCGCATCAATAACTACCAGTATGCTGGTAAACCTGTATGATCTGGTTTAATTTTTCTGTATAAATCTCATACATATTTGTGTTGCAGTATATATATATGAGTATATTGCATGGGCACTATTCAAGCTACATGCAATTTTACACCGATATTCCGATTCTCATAAGTTCATAAGAAAAATCCAGAAGAAATACAGTCAGTTTCAAATCGAGACTGAAAATAAATCATAATTATTAGGTTATGGATAACAAATATGTGAAGCCACGACCTGTGGAAATCAATAAATTTAAGCTTGAAGAGGTACGAAACTGCGTCTGTCAGAGAGAACTCATCTCTGCAACTGAGAACTTACACTGTTAAACCAACACAAGAACAAAAATGGAATGAAACTTTGTTAAAAATTGGAAATCTTATTATTTGGTGCCTTAGCCATCTAATATACCAATCATGAGTTTTAACTATATATGGTAGAATCGATCATTGGATTACCCTAAGGTGCTTAAGATTTGTCGTTCACCGAATGTTCAGAGCAATAGTTTAAATTGACAACTTAGACGATTCACTATATGGAAATGACGCATCTGGGTGAGGGATCATACCAGCAATGACTTTTCCACATTTGGCGGCATGTCTATTCAGTGGTATGATGTCCTCGCCATATCACAATACAGTTTTCGGATTTTGCAGCAGCTGTTTCCACGATCATCAGTAGTAAGATTCTCGAGACTGTCCTTCTAGTGCATTCTCTACCTTTGTCTAAGGGTTGCTTCTCTCTCTGCAACCGATGGAAGGGCTCTGTGAGATTTGACAGTACCGTGGCAAAAACTCGAACTCCGAAGATCCTTCACGACTGTCAAGTGGATGAAGAAAATGGTCTTATTAGCAAACGACTTAACAATCGGATCTTTGCACGCCTTCCACGTAGCTGATTTGGCGATGAAGCAGTTTAAAATCATAAATATTTTATTGAAATAAATTCCGATAGAGCAATGCCGAAGTTTCACAACAGGCAAAGATACTAGACTCAAAGTGAATCTGGCAGAATATGGATGATCTTTCGAAATGAACTATGCCATAGCGTGATGCACTGTGATCGTCAGTTTTTAGACATTTGCCAAATCAACGTATCAACATGTTGCATTCAACCCGGTTGCCCGACGTTTTACTTTCGTCAGGAACGAGGCACATACATCAGTAAAGCTACCAACGTAACCACAGTTGCTATAGAAAGAACAGCGAAGCAGCCGGCAATCGTTTTGCTTGCAAGCGTGTCTTCTTCTATCAACTCCTCCGGCATCTGGTAGTCAATGTATTCACAACGAGGACCATAGTAACCAATCATGCAGTTGCAGGCATATGACATGACACTTGGCATAATTTCAAACTTTATGCATGTCCCACCGTTAAAGCAGTACAGCTCTGTAAACGGACTTTCGCAGAGCTCCTCGATTTTGTTGATACGACGGGTTTTCCTAGCATCTACTTCTTGACTGTCTTTCGCCGTTGCTACGTAGACAACGCTCAGGAAGCACAAGATCTTTTTGCTCAATAGTCGTGCCATTTCCGTTTTTATGGAGATATTATTCGTGAATTGTCATATTCAATACAACGAAACGCTTATGACCGCATATTTTGATCTGAAGTTTGGCCAAGCCCCATTTCGCTGGAGCACTCAGTGTGACAGCTAGGACAGCAGAACAAACAACGAAAGCAAAAATAACAAGCAAATTCGCAACAACCTTACACTGAATGATTTCCTCTGCTGATTGATGTACTGAGCATCATGTTACAACGCCAAAAACGTTACGCAGTAGACAACACATTACACATCTCAGGGTTAAAATCGAACCTCAGTCACTCTCACTGTAGATGGGCAGAGACCCTGC